CACCTACCTTTGTAGCCCTCCTTTATAAGCTCTCTTAATAGTTTTATGTCCTTATCCTGTGGTGCCCAAAACGGTACGCAGTACTCAAGGTGAGGCCTCACTAGCACAGAGCAGAACAAAACAACCATTTCCCTCGTCTTGCTGGCAGTGCCGTACTTGATGCACCTCAGGGTACGGTTGGCCCTCCTGGCCTGCCAGAGCACACTGTTGACTCACATTTATCTTGCCATTAAGCAGAACCCCCTGATCGTCTTTCTGCAGGGCTGCTCTCCAGCCTCTTGTCTCCCAGTCTGTACATATAACCAGTGTTGCCCTTTCTCAGGTGTAGAATATGGAAATTGCACTTGTTAAACTTCATACAGCTGGTGAAAGCCCTCTGGTTTGTCCAGACCTCTCTGAAAGGCCTCTCTACCCTCAAGAGAGTCGACAGCTTTTCCTAATTTAGTATCAGCTGCAAACTTACTTAAGATGCCTTCAAGTTCTGAGTCCAGATCATTTATAAAAACATCAAGGAGAACTGGCCTTGAAATGGAGCCCTGGGGAACCCCAGCTAGTGACTGGCCACCAGCCTGATGCAGCCCCATTTTACAACCCTTTAAGCCTCATGCATCAACCAATTATCCACCCCTTTTGTTATGTACTTGTCTAGCTGTATGCTGCACATTTTGTCCAGAAGGACACTGTGAGAAACAATATCAAAAACTTTGTTGAAATCCAAAAAGATTACATCAACTGGCTTCCCTTAGTCACCTAGATGAGTGGTGTATTTCCTCACCGAACACATAGGCCTACTTTTGTCAGGAGAATAATTCAGGACCACAGATATTCTTTTCTTGGTCATGGCCTTGCAGCTCTGCTGAAATCTATAGGGGAGAACATCTGTTAGAGAAAAAAGTTAGAGTTTGACCTTGTCTGCCTTACTAAATTCTGCTTTGGTATTTTATTTTTTTCCTGTGCCCAACTTCTTAACCTTACTTCTCCCTGGCTGCATAACCTCGTGTGTTTTTTTCCTTGAAGATGGTATTGTGGAACCAAAGCACTGGATAGTTAACTTTTCCTCACAAATTTCCTCAGCCAAGTTTTGAGAAAGGCTCATTTGGTGACATGTACACTGGAATAAAAATCACATATTGCTGATGGGGATTTTTTTTTACCTGGTGGCAAGAGGAGATGTTTGCAGAGACTGACAATGTCTGAATACTTATCTTCTACTCCAGGTGCTGCCTTGAAAAGTCTTGATTTTGTGTCAGCTTTGATTAAGCATGGCTTGTCTCTCTTACGTGACACTTTATGGCAGGTTTTCTATCTTTTCACCATGCTTGTTGTAGGTATTTGCAAAAACTGGTGGCTACGATCATCTATTTCTGTATTCTCAATGGTAAACTAGATGAAAGCACCCTTCTTATATTTTTCAAGACATTAAGGAAAACACTCACATTGTACCTGATTGGTGATTACTGATGTAAACACAATATCCCACAAACATACCTCGGTCCCTTCCTTCTAATGTGGTTTCTTGCTGTTTTCCTACACACCTATTTTTTCCTATGCAGTGCTCAGGACAAGAATTCCTCTGGGTATGGAAGCAAAAATACATGTAATACATGTAATTTTATGTAATACATAAAACTTTTGCTCCAAGGAAAAATTTTTATGCATTTCAGAGGTTTTTATCTGCAAATGCTGTGCATGAGTGCAACTTGGATTAGCAGTGTGCTGAGGAAGCATTTTTGCCGGGCACAGCAGGGGCCAGTACATGAGGATGTGTGGCTGAATGAGTGACAGTAGCCCTGTTGGCCATACAGGGTGAGGGCATGCTGGCGTTCACTCCTGCCAAGTGGCTCAGAGCTTCTGACTTTCCTGTGGACTTTATCTAGCTTCAGTCATTGAAGCAATTTCCCAGAAAAGTGCTAACATAACAGAACAGTGACCTAGATATGGGACCACGATAGCAAGAATCACAATCAAATAATTTATTGTACATTAACTTTTTCTAATTTGCTCTTCCTTTCAATAAGAGCTTTAGGAAAGGGCATAAGTAAAGGAAGCAATAAAAGTTTATCTGGCCTCACATGAAAGCTGTAAAATTCCAGTGAGCCTCTGTGGTGACCTCAGTGAGAAGCTGGAGCCCTAAAGAGCATTTTATTGGCAAGTCTGGGAGAAGGCAATGGCTACACTGTCTCTTTGGTAATGCCTTTCTGACCCAGCAGCTGGGCATCTTCAGATGCACTCCTCTCTCTCACATTTTTTTTGCAGCCATATTCCCTGCTTCGCAGACCCTAGTTGGAAGATAAGCAGCACACCCTCCAAGCATGCAAATAGCTGGCAGAAGTGGTCCTGATGTTGTCCTAGATATACTGCGTAAAATCCTTGCTCATTTTGAGTGCAGGAAAAACTATGAGCTGATTTGCTGATGTCAGGATGCTACTCGGAGATGTGCTACCTCCAAAGGGTCTGCAGAGACCAAGAAGCCTTGCCCTGCCCTCCTGCTGCAAGGGGTGAGAGCGCTAACACCACATTTCAATTTTAGGCTTTGCACAGCCTAAAGGATATGGTACAGGTGCCTGTTGAACAGCATTGCTTCACTGACTATATTGGAGGTCTCGTACAGACCAAGGATCTGGCCTGGAGTTTCCTATTATGGTATCAATTGATTCAAATTATTGACTTCAGTAGCTAAAGAACAGATCTCCATGTGCCTGTCTGCCCACTGAAGATCAAAAAGCAAGCCATTTTTGCACCCTGCAAAAGACAGCCTTCTTCTTTTGAAGACAATGCATAGAAAATTCTGAGTTAAACATGTTAAGTCAGGAGCTAGGTTGACATACCATGTTTTGTAGTGAAGAAAGGTTGGTCTAGCAGACTGCCTCTGATTTTAGCTCTAAGCATGCATTTCAACTGAAACATGACTTTTCTCTTTGAGCTCACAACTTCCTAACATTTACTACCTTTAAAAAGCTGAATGGAAAATTCTGCAATATGGGGAATTCAGATTCTGATGCTTTTCTCTGCAAAAGAAGTAGGCATAAAACAGAACACAAATACAGGAACAAGTTAAACCTGGGAGAAGTGAGGCCAACCTGCTGACTGCTCCTGATGACTGAGATGTGGAAGGAACCATTTTCCTACACAGATCATGTTTTTCAGGAGCGTTCAGCCTGGGCTCTAGTTGCTTGCTGGGCATAGACTAGCAGCATTTCACATTGCTCCTTAGTGGCTATGGACTGATGGCTTTCAGGACATGACACAAAACACACTTGTTCTTTCCTCAGGCTACTAGAGACCAGGAAAGATGAAGTGATGACTGTTGTTGGATGCGACATCTCCTGTTTATCTTTCTGGTTATTTTTTTTCTGGCTATGAATATAACAGCTAGATTACTAATTTAAATATCTGTTGAGAACAGCTAGAGGCAAGGGCTTTCCCCACTTGGATGAAAATGCAAGTAAAGAAATGATAAATATCCACTTTTTGCTTGCAGAATTATGATGCACAACACACAAATAAAAAGCATGTGATGTGCTGCAGGCTAGATCATTGAAACCATACTTTCAGACTTACCTGTGGGTGCCTTTGTTTGTCTATTTATGTCACCGTTCCAGAAATGTAATGAATTGAGAGCTGGTAATTGAATTTGCTTCTCTGCTTCTGTGACCTGCCTTGAATGGCCCAGTGGCCAAATTGCCTGTAAATTCATGTGGATGCAAGAGCAGCAACCAGCAGGTTGCAAAGCTTTAATTTAATCTCAGGCCTGACCAGATAACTAATAGAAAGTGATCAGGCAGTTAAGGATGCTTAGGCAGATGGAATTCCATGAAGTTATTTACAACCATGTGGCACTGAGCTTCCTGCCCTGGCATTTAACTCCCCAAATATGCCCACTGTTCAAATCACCCGACTGCAGCAGATGGGCAAAACTGCCTCAGTGGGGCTGTGACCCTCAATGACTCGGAGAATCAACATAGTCAAAAGAACCTTGTGCCTTTGATCAGTTTAGCAAGGGCTAAATCACTTTAACCCACTTCCTAGTTTATCCATTTTCACCATTAGGATGTGCAGAATATGCATGCGATGGCACAGACTCTAACCAAATGTTCTGCTAGAAACCCCAAAACAACTCCAGGGCTCCAAGCACTATTGAGTGTGTGCCAACATACCCGCATATGTGCACTGCTCTGCAAGTGATCTGCAGCAGCCTGCTCCTCCCCAATGCCCCCTACTTAAGTAGATATCTGGATGCTGACCATTATTTTGAGTCTAAATGTTCACCTGGCAAAAGTTGAAATGACCAAAAGGCCGAGCAATCCTTGACTCCTCTGTATGCCCTCAATTCAAAGAGGCTGCAACCAGATTTGTGTGTAGCTTCCCAGCTAGCTTTGCTTTTGAAACAGAAACACATTTCCTCAAATATCGTTGTTTTTGTCACCATCCAGCGTGAAACCACAAGGATATATCAGTTCCATAAAAAATATTCCCCAATCACTCCCCTTCCTCCATCCTTCCCCCCCCCCCCCCCCCAAAAAAAAAAAAAAGAACACAAGATTTCTCTTGTTCAGAAAAATAACACTGATAACTTCTTGTATCACACAGCATCAGCCCTACGGCAGGTGTATACCAAACCATGCTGCTGCACGGTGAGGGATACCTCTCTAACTCATTATTTTGATTTCTGGCACACCACCAGCCAGATGTTCAGCAGCGGCAAGATTTGCACCAGACTCAGAGGTGTTCGCTCTCCTCAGCGTAATTCTGGCAGATCAGATGTGGTGACTCAGGGCAGCTTCTTCTGCTTTCTCCTCCAAATTAATTCTTCAGGAACTGCGCAGATGACTCAGTGCTAACACGCAAACCACATCGTGAGACTATTTGACCTGAAAGGTAGTTAGCAAGAACCTCTGTAAGGAAAGATTGAAATACTTATTTCCAAAAATAAAGGATAAACCTCTGCACTGGTTAGCGAACAAATAAGAAGTTGGCAAATAAGATGCCACAGAGAGGATTTGTTATACTTTTAATATTTTAAATTCCTTCCATACATGAAGAAAGATGGGAATATAAATTAACAGAAGGAGGAAGGCTACACCTGGAACAATCAATGAAGAGCAAAGACAGACACCTAATAAATTAGCTGTGCAAATGTATAAAAAGATTAAAAAATAAAAATAAAAAATAGTAAAAAATCACCACCAACAATAAGAAGTTGTCCAGATGAGCTCTTCTGTAGTTTAAAATACAGAGAAATCATTTTGAGAAAACATTTTATTGCCACTCAGCGAGTCTTGCCTCAGTTTTCAAACACACCCACTACCCATCCCCAAATCTCAAACAGTACATGCCAGCATTTATAGGTAAACACTTCCTAAATGTGTAGCATAACCTATCCCAGGTCCCACATACAACTTCTAAAAGGCTTGTACTGCAGCTTAATGCAGCATCTCTGTTTCCATTTAACTCTGCACTGTGGGCTTCCCATCCCCTATGGGGAATTTTCTTTAATATATGATTTCAATTTCAAAACAGCATCACTTTAGGGACCTATTCTGCCTTTACTTATGCAGCCTGGGAGATGATTCATCTGCCTACTGATAGCAGCTTTAACCAAAAAAAGAATATTTTCAATACAAAACTAAACAATTAATTAGACACTTTAGAGAACAGGTACATTACATTCTTGTCATGGGTCCTGGGAGCAGCTAGACTTTAAAACTGATAAATAAAGTGTCCTTGTATTCTTCAACCATCCCACAGGAAAAGTAGTTTGTAAAATAGTAAAATTGCTCAGGCACAAATATTTATCACATATCCAATAATATTTTATGTGCCTTGTAACTATAATATTGCATGTTTTATGCTCCTTCAATCTTTGGTTTACAGTGCATCCAGTTTCTTCAGTATAGATAACTTCACAACCAGTGGATATTTGTAAACAATATTTTGTTACCGCCCCACGAACACTAGCTTCTGCTGTTTCCCCTGGGGTTTCAATGAAGCTTTATTCTACCTCAACATACACTGTTCATGTCCTAAAAATGCCTGATGCAAAATGCGTAATTATCTTTATTTTATTAGATTTGTCAGGTTTACACAGTTTTCGGTCCATTAGAGGTTAGCCATCATTACACAAGCATACCTATTTAATTTAAGTACCTGTCTGTTTCATCTCATTCAGAACAGCTTGTACTTTAAAAACGCAGCCACAGCATCACAAAACCAAGGCAACCACAAAGGCGTGCTTCGTCCTGCCCCTTTGATAAAAAGGCAGTTAATGGAGGTATTAAATATTGCATCTTCAGGTGCGCAGCTGAAGACAGGTTGCTCCATGTGAATTAGTGCAAACACTCATGGCTGGCTGGAAGGTGTAGCTTGAGTATTAGCACAGCTGGTGGAGTCAGGATCCACAGATCCCACGGAGAGGCACAGAGGATGTACAACCAGCCAGCCAAAGCTGTATTCCTCCTGAGAGTAACCTCAACTGGTAAACCCACTGCAGGTTCACGTGGCATTTCAGCTGTTAATGCAGGCTCTGGCTATCTGAAAAGAGCAGCGTGGCATTAAGCAGCCACTCATTTCTCTCTGCCATGTCAGCACAAGCAGGGAGATGGAGAAGGGAAGTGGTTTGACTACAAAATACTCCCAGTGAAGTCAGGGAAGTGGGTAGGGAGCGATTGCTGAAGCAGCACTGGCTCACTGAGTTGGGGAAGCAGACCTGACTGAAAGGGGTGTCCCAGACCCGTTAAAAATTAATAATGAAGTCTTAATTTCACAGATATGCAGCCTCCTCTCTGAGCTGGATGTTCTGAGCAACTTACGCTGCGCACAGAGAGACTTTGCAAACAGGATACACAGAGCAGACTAGGGTGCATCAGTTACTAACTGGTTGGTGTGCACAGTAGCTAGACAGACTAACAAGCTCACAGGCTTGGAGTTAACACATCCACCACCGCAACAAGGCAGCTGCTGCATCCCTCCTGGCACAGTAGGTGAGGAAGGGGATGTCTCCGTTGCTGCATGAGAAGAGGCTGATCCTTGATGTTGCCAAAAAGCCATGAAAACCCACATGCCTCTGTATGGTCTCCTTGGCTTTGTATTCCTCACCAATGGGCAGAAGCAGCCATTTCAAGCTGAGGAAAACTCATGACCTAGCTGCTCTATTATCCAAGATGGGGAGAAAGATCAAGCAACAAGCTTTCTTACTCTATTTTTATAACCCTAATCACTAGGCAGCTGAGTTGCATCTTGGAGGTGGTATGTGCTGCTCGAAGAAATGTAGATATTGCATGATTCAGGAGATGATTTTTAGTGTAGAACACTCCAACATAAATGCAAACAAAGCATTGCTTCCTAACTTGCATTCATAATTCTTGGTTATCCTCTTCTTCCAGGTGTGTCCAGAAAAAAGAAAAAAAAAACACACCTCTTTGCATCAAGCCAAAATGGAAAATACTAATTAGTACAGGTGACAAGAGGAGTTAAATCTTTCTAAAGATCTTACCTTAAAAACGACCACTATAACCATCAATTTATTCACTGACAAAAGGTTGGGAAACTTTATGTAGAGAGAAAAAAGAAAAGCAGGTGGAAGGGGCCAGCTGAAAGGCTTAGCAACATACTGTGGCTCCAGTTAAATACAGAGGATGGGGAAGAGGAATAGGAATTAAAATTGGATGATCAGGTAGCTGCAGATGTCCTGTATTTTTCATCAGATGCTGTCACCTCATAAAGAAGATTGATGTTCATAGGAATCTTGTAGAAATATTGTTTAAGGAGAGACTGAGCAAGAGTTTATACTGGATAACCTCAAGAGGTCTCTTCCACTCAGCAGTTCTATGGTTTAAAGGGCTGGAGCACAGACGACCAAAGACCTTTGGTCATAAGGAACTGTATAAGTGAAGATGGCGATATGAGTGGAGAACAGACAAGAAATTGGTGGCTGTCTTTTTTCTGATTAAAGAAGTAAAGAAGCAAAAACAGAGTGGCCAAGCAAACTTTGTGCAAAGTTATATTTTTAGATGCTTGTCTTGAAGTCACCTTTTATGTGATCTATTTAAAGGTAGCAAAATATTCTTGAATTGTCAGCAGATGAACAAGCGCTTGGAGGTACTCATCTCCCTGTCTGATGTCAGCTGGCAAGGATTGCTCACCTTCCCCCTCCCTACTAAAATTAGTCAGGAACCTCCCAGCAACTTCAGTGAAAACAGTCTCAGCCTTCAAACACTTGAAAGCCACAATATTTTAATAAGCTGATAACCTCTGAAAGTATAAGGAGATCAAAAATGAGAGAAAGGAAAAGTTTAAGTGTATATTTTTGTTTTATATATCTTTCTTTAGTAATATAAACAAAAGGATGATTCCTTTGTTTCTGTGTAAAAAAAAAAAAAAAAATCTTAAAAACCCACTTCATCCATCTACACTTACTTCTTGTCTTAAAGCAATGCCCCCTACCTCTGTTCAGACAAACAAAACACGAAAGGACTGCCCCAACAGCCTCCATCTACACTGTTAGCTCTGAGAGATGACCCCACCATTGACATATCAGGCACAGGTTAGCTTATAGATGCTCTTAGAGTGGCTGCACTGTTACTGCTTGGGAAAGCAGATGGGATTGCTGATCCACCACATTCAGTTCACTACAAATTTGAGGAGCTAAATCTTGGTAGTTCCAGCGTTTATGTCCTTCCTCAGACCCTCTGGTTGACATGGGCTGTAGACACAGCCTTTACTTACCAAATAGCAAGATAACAAATGGGGATCATGTTACAACCATGTTTTTAAAGGGAAGGAAAACCTGCCCTAAATGTAGTGCTGATTGCCATTTCTCTTCATCTCTGATGTTTCAAGAACATATACGTTCATATAGCCAAGTCCTCTAGAGTATCGTTGGGCAGAAAACCAAGACAGAGAGGTTTTGCAGAGGCTGTTTTTGCCATTATGTTCCCTCCTCAATGCAGACATGAAGACGGCCAAATTGAAACTGAAGACTTCGGAGGAACTCCCAGGTCAAAAGAGTCAAATCTATGTATTGAAATGAAACCCCATCATGGATGTTAGCAACAAATGCATTGTTCAAAGTAAAGTGTTTTTTTAAATGTAGATTACTTACATACAGTCTAATTAAAGCTTTCTTTTGATTGATTCAAAACTGAAAATAGTCAGGTCTGTACTCCTTTGTTTCATTTACAGGGTATTGCCTCTTTTTGAATTATAGTATTGTCAGCAACAGCTGTATAAAAATAAAGGTAGGCCTCCTTAAAGAAAAAAAAATTCTCAAGACCATAAAACCCCAAAATATTAATCTCATTCTTAAAACTATTTTTTTTCCTTTACTCAGGGAGAGGGTTTATATTTATACCTTTCCTACCGCAACAAAACATCATAAGGTACGGCGTTCAGTATTTAGTAATACAGTGACTGTTGTAACTGTTGGTGTCTACATATTGATATAGAAAGCACCACTCCAAGTATCTGTACTCTCTCATCTAAGGTTTTTCAGTATTTCTCAGTAGAATACCTGGGCTTCATTTATAGCTTGGTCTGATTTAGGGGGTTGGCTTTTATTTACTTCTTATAAATGTATTTAATATGATAAGGGGTTTAAACAGTGTCTCACCATCAGCAGGGGCATTGAACTAATTGGCAAGAGCACTGCCCACCCTGCTTATATTTTTAGCAGGTTACTTTTAGTTTGACAGCACACAACACTGCTGTTCTCAGCTCCTTGGCTGATTGCTTGACCTGGTTTCCAACCCTTGCAACTTTCCTGTGCCTCTCCCAGGCTGAACAATGAGGACAGCATGCTCTGTGCAATCTACTCAGGCCCTCTGAGTCATTTTATCAGGTGTACACATTGCGATCAGATGCCTACATGAATTTTTAGTACACAGACTTAGCCAGAAACTGCTTGTATATATTTCTAGATTGAGCACTCCCAAGACTATTTACCTGGAGATGTTATGAATACTGTATTTATAATTTCTGTGCCATGTGGGAAGAACTATCAACACTCACTTTCGTTATAGGCTTGCGATGTTGTTGGATGGCACTGGTGATTCTTCGGGTGGTGTTTGGCAGCACTTGCCAACCACTGTCATCGAAGTGTCCACCATTTCTGATGGGCAGAGGACTGAGGCTTAGATCAACCTGCTGGGCGTTGAGTGAACACCTGTGACAAACAGAACTTGTACATAAGACACAAGGTGCTCCTAAACTGTCTTATTTCTCTGCATGACAGGAACATTGCATGGGGAACTGCAGCAGTTCTCTCACCCTTAGGTTTTGTTTTGTTTTCTCTGTTCCCACTCTTCCCCCCCATTTAACTGGAAGTCAATGTGTGCTGGGTTTTGACGCTGAAGCCTGGATAGGCAAAAAGGAAAAACAGCAGTGAACCAGGGGAGATGAAAGGACTAATTGGCAGGGCAGGCAGTTGCTGTAGCATTCATAGATAAGGCTAATGGAGACAGCATCAAAACTGTTAAGCTGCACATTATTCATTTTTATATGCTGTTAGTAGTTACACTGAGCCCTTCTCGTCAACCTTTATATTAGTAATACCCTCTAGCAACTCTTGATTGTTTCCTCATCCTTTGCAGACCAAAAAAATATATATATATTCAAATATGAAACCATTATACAGTTTTCAACAGGCATTGATACAAATAAGGTGCTTAGAAAACAAAGACATTAAGATATTCTGGATGTTTTCTCCACAAAATTCAGAATTCTTTATACAGGAGAGGAATTTCCATTGTCAGACTCCCTGAGTCTGCAAGAACTTCACTATACCATCCAATATTGTAAGCATAGATCTCTTAGCTTAAGCAAATAAATGGAAATATTGAATAGACATGGCAATGAATCCCAACTCTCAGGAGAAAACCTGCTGTCTCAGATAATAAATCACTGAAAGAAAAGATAAAAGATGAAAAAATAAATAAGGACAATACTGCACTTTTAATCTTTCACTTTCTTGCTATCCCACGAAAACCAGGAGGAAGTTATTCTGAAAACTAATTCAAGGCAGCAAAGGCACTCATATTTCTTTTAGCAGTGTGATCCATGAAGCATTTTATAGGTGGATGCTATGAACCCCAAGTTTCTGCTGAGCTGATTCACAGCTGCACTACTCTAGTTTTATGCTGAAATCAATGGAGGCACACAGGGATAAAACTGGAATACTGCAAGGATGATTCAGACGGCTTTTGTTTCAGAGGAAATGGCATAGAGACATCTAGGAGCAGTAGAGCATTCACTTATTTAAACCCTTCCTGTCCTTGGAGCAAAACACTGATTAAAAAAAATAAGACTCCTTCTGAAGAGCTCTGATCAGAGAGCACAGCTTAATGGATGAAAGAACATACCTTTCATAACTAGATTAAGTGCAGTCTTCAGAAGGAAATGTGCCATCTCCTCTCAGACAGGATGGCACAGCTCAATCAAAGCAAGATGATGGCAAGAAACTGACATTTTAAGTGTCAAGATAGGGGTGGTTTAGAAGCTGATGTTAACATTAAGAGACTCTGGAGCTTCAACATTTTTGGATCTCCAAGAGGTTGGTGAAAGTGGCTTTGAGGACACATTTCACTGCTCTGTCGCCCTTCGTTGCATTGCATTAATTTAGGACTTTCAACACTCACTTCCAGAAGTACCAGAAGAGAAATATTTTCTATTTTGTGCATGGAAAATAGTTTTTCTCTAAGAACAGGTCAGAAAAGACCATTTCTTACCCCTATCCAACACCTCTCTTGTGCTGGCTACTTCACAGAGTAGCTAAGCAACTTCACTGAAATCCCTGTCATCACATGGAAATAATGATATCTCTATTCTCATCCTGTGAGATGGTCTTGGGAACCAAATTAAGCCAGAGAAACTGAAGGTCTAATACTTCTTAGAGGGTTTTGGCCCTATGTGGAATAAATTAAATAACTATCTCAGACTGCCTGAAACCAGCATTAATGTATAAACCCCACAAGCACAGGAATCAAACTGCATGAAAGCACAGGCACTAAGAAGTTGCTTTGAAGTTCCAGCAGCCTGACAAGAGGGAAAAAATAAATAAATAAATTTTGAAGTGAAATCCTTGTTTCCTGATATGGCCTGCAGAGATGAGACATTGAAGAGCTCTTGGCTCTCGCACCACTCACATCTCATTGAGCTGATGAAGAGTTTCATGCTGATTTGGAGAAGGAAGAACCTGGAAGAGTCAGGCCCATCGGGAGTAGGTGCTTGTGGAATATCGCCAGGCTTGTTGGTGTCAAAATAGTGAGTGTGTGAGCATAAATCAGAAGAGAATTGCTGAGACTGGGCTTGAACAGGAATGTGAGTTAAATAACATGCAGGAATGTGAATTGATTAATATGCATACCTTGCTCATATCTTGCTGGCCAAAGTACAGGACAGATGTTGGAGGTTTGCAGTTGAATAGGCCCATCGGCCACGGCAAGTAAGCAGTGTCTGGGATGAGATGGAAGCCTCACATCCTGATGTTGTTTGAAATAAAGCTGGGAAAGGAACCAAATGTACCAAATGTTAGGCCTCAACCCTTCCTCCTTTTTCCTTCCTTACTAAACAACTCAACAAGCTTTGTTAAGAGCCAATCAGCACACAACAAATGACTTACTCCTACCTTGCCAAAAGTAGGAATCTGGTTTCCAGAAACCCCTATTTTTGAGGATGAGAGCTCCAACTATTGGATGGATTGATGGGCCTGGACCTCTCTTCTTCCCAAGAAGGAATACCTCTTTTGTAAGACTCCTGCCTCCAACTGTGTCCAATGTTGGAAAAATTACCTGGAAAAATATTGATAGCTAAAGTACTAAACTATTAACTCAAGCTCAATTATTGCATTAAATGACTTTACCAACAGCAATTCCAAATATGTTATAAATACATATACATAAATATATATGTGTATATATATACACATAAAAGTGTATATAAATATAAATTACCCATCTGTTCAACTTTGTGAAATTGTCAAAGTCCTTGGCAGGGCTCTGAAACAGTCAAATGTTGACTCTAATAAGTGGCTATACACATAATCTTTTAGACATAAACCACTGACCAAGTCTGGGACTAGGACTGGATCTTGCCACACCTAGTCTCCTCTCTGAGAAGGAATTTAGAAGACTTGGTGTACCTTTCTGAACCTCATGACACAAGGGAAGGGCCTCCCTCAGCCACACACCCTTAACGTGACAGTGCCTACTTGAAAAGCCAGCCTAGATGTCCCAGCAGGAGGAGTGAGCTGCCTGTTCCTCTGCACACCACCTCTTTACTGTATTAGGCAAAATATATCACCATAATCAACATGAAATCAAAAGAGGAAGAGGAGAGAGAAACTACGACAGAGGTCTTCCTGTGGTCCCACAAGAAAGGAAGAGTAAGACAGATATTGAGAATCTCTTGTCACATAAGCTATGTCCTTGTGTTGGAGTCTCCTTTAGGATCCCCAGTGCAATCAAAATGATGAGTGTATGATGGCAGGAATGAATGAAAAGCAGGTTTCCAAAGAGACCACAGACCTCTTTCCTCTTATTATCCTCCGCCATCCCTTGCCTCCTTTTCACTTCATCTGGGCTTTTTTGTTTGTTTGTTCGATAGCTCTATTCTTCTCTACAGTTAGACAGCAAAAAATAAGCCATCAGCACATTTAACCAACAGTGATTAACATCCTACAACAGTGCAGGAGATTATGGTATGATGTATTAGACTGTCACAGAACAATTCTCCTTGTCAAACACGGTGCAGAACATGCTTGAAAAACATTTGGGGGATCTAATATAGAGTTTGTGTTATTACACCTTAACAGGATACCACGTATGGACAGAGCTGCAAAACAAAAACCACAAGTGCACGTTTTTAGCTGATGGCAGATGTAATAGAATGACTTCACTCAGCCTGCAAGGAATGAGAATTAAGTTAAGTTGCATTACCTTGCTTTTGGCAGGGTCTATGGGAGTTGCACAGACAGCTATCGCACCTCAGCTGGCTCATGGTATCTTGATAAGCTGTGTTATCTGGGTTGTGTGAGCCCTGAGCTGAGTTCTGAGATATCAAATATGCAATGATCTTTGCTGGGAAGCCACATACCTCTCTGAGAGCATGATGAGATTAAGCGCGATGGTTATTCCCATGTAGCCACTTGAGACTTATTGGAAGAACAGCTTACTCTCTGGTGGCTGTTCCCCAGCCAGGATCTCCCTGTGGAAAAACACTTGAAAGAACACGATTTCTGCATCAGAATCATTAGGAAGTTGCAAGAGATGCAAAAGACCCTCCACATAAATTGTGGCTAGCTTGTGAAAAAACTGTAATGAGGAGACAGACTCTATTTGCTGAGGTAAAACAAAGCACCCTTTTGCTCCCTCAGTTATAAAAGTAACCCAATTAAAGCCCTACAGCTGAAGTCAGCAACCTAAGTGAGAAGATATTGTAAACAGCTGAAGTCCCACTGGCAATTGGTTCTGTAACAGCAAGCAACAAGTAATGAGAAACTAGTAATAAGTGCATGTATTTTCATTCTTCTTGAAAAATGGCTCAGCAGAGAAAGGTCAACACCAACTACACACATGCAACTCTGCTCTGACCACAGCAGAAATGTACTGAGGAAGAAGATGGCTGGAAATGGAGTGAAAAGCACAGCAGATCCTCTCCACCACTGTATCTCTATCACACCTGCTGGGTTAACTCAGTGGTTTGTCTGACTTGCTGTAGAGGCATAAAGCAAGGTACTTAGAAGATTAGTTGTGGGTGAGTGTTTTCAGTAAACCCATGTATTTCTATGGGTTTATTTCCCATCCATGACCTTCAAGGCCTGAAGCACAGCCAGCTAGGCTGCAACAAGCCCCACAACACTTAGTCATTTGGTTTTCTCTTAGGCAGTTCAGTTTAGAAGCCCATAATGACATGTTCCAAATATTGCTGAAGGGTCTCAGCTCCATTCAGTACTGTTATCATTCTCTGGCAATGACTTACCTTGAGTCCTTCACTCTGGAGGTAACAGCCTGAGGGCGTGTTACAGGTCTTGTTGTCCCAAGCCATAGCCCAAAATTAATCTAGGTATGTTTCAGCCGCCTTTGAACACAACAAACTTAAAAAAAGAGGTTGCTTTAGGGCAACAGAATTTAAACCTTCATCTTTATTTATGCACCAACACCAATCCTTGCCATTATTACCTGTAACTCTGAAACAAATGCTATCTAACTTCATCAGTACTGTCATGATGAACATTCATTCATCTACCTCTTCAGCAAATAAAGGAGGACAGACATTTAAAACCATTCTTACTAGATATGTTTGATCTTTTGTCCTCACTGCCACACAAAAGTTTTAGAGTTCTCATCTCCAAAAGCCCCACAGTTAATAATGATAATGATAATTAATAACAATAAATGTAATGATGATGATGATGATGATGATGATGATAATAATAATAATAATAATAATAATAATAATAATAATAACAAATCTTCAAAACCCCACTGCTTTGAAGATGGTGACTGTCCACCAGCCTGATACAGCCCCATTTACTACAACCCTTTGAGCCCTACCTGTCAGCCAGTTATTCACCCATCGGATGATGGTTTTGTCCAGCTGGATGCTGGACATCTGGTCCAGTAGGATCCTATGAGAAACTGTGTCAAAAGCTTTACTGAAATCCAAAAAGATGACATCAGCTGGTTTCCCTTGGTCGACTAGATGGGTGATCTTATCATAAAAGGAAATCAAATTTATTTACCAGGACCTACCCCTCGTGAAGCCCTGTTGGCTGGGACCAATGACACCAAAGAAGAGAGGAAAGTGGTTTTGCCGGTTGTTGTTGTTTATTATTGTTGTTCTTGTTGCAATGTATTTATTTATTATTTGTCTGATGATTATTCTATCAGTTTGTTGCCTTGTCTTGGGAAGAACTGATAACCAAGCACCTTGAAGGGCCTTTCCGTTGCACTCCTGCGCTTCTTCCAGGCAGACCTGAAGACTTCTGCTTCTTCAGAGGAGCAGCTGTCTGCGTCCCCGTTCTGAGGGATCTGCTGCTCTTCTCTGGGCACCGCCATGCAGGGCAGGGCTTCGTCTTCAGGCACCCCTTGGGCAGCCTTCTCGTCCTCAGGCCGAGACACCCCATGGCCAGCGTGGCCTTTGGAAGGGTTCTCCTGTCGCCCCGGTGCAGCAGAAAAAAGACTCACTGAAAGTCTCCTCACAAGTACAGCAACCTCACCACATCTGTTTGAAAAAAGTATATTTGAGGATCTTTTTATGCTGTAGGCAACCTTCTTTGAAGATATCTGGGTGGACATGTATTACATTTAGGCAGACACTTGTAGATATACAGGGGTATATCTAAGATGTACTAGATCGAAAATTAGATGCTCTTACGATGAACTGGATGCAATGGATGCTTAGGATGGAAAACTAGATAAACAAAAGTCTCAACAGAAATCTGCTTGCACAGCTAAGAGTGAAGTCAGCCTTTCTTTAACTCATACTTGAGAAGCATGAAAGCTGAAATACTGTCTCTAGCCTTATATTCAGCCCTGAGATGGAGCCACAGATGAAGCATAAATGATGCTGCCTAGATGGATACAAGTTTCAGAAGATCAGTTCCAGGGTGCTCAGGAAAAAACCTGATACTTTTCTTTTGTTACCGAGCCCCACGTGGATGGGAAGGAAATGCTGAGGAAAAAACACACATTCATTCAGGCTTATATATTGTGTGAGTTTGACCAATCTAAATATGTTAAAGTATGCTAAAGACTGCATGCAAACTTTGTATTTATTTATAGCCAACCCAAGTGTCCACCAACACAGAATACACCTCTACATACACATATACTTATATACATATACACATATACATACCCCTTCTTCCTTCTCACAGTTAGGAAAACATTGTCAGTATCATCCTAGAGGAAAACCTAATTAAAGCACTCTGCATATATAATGAAATGGAAAAAATATAATCCAAATTAAAATCAAAATGCACGTGTAAATCAGTGACCTAAAGAAGGTGACATAAAAATTTTGTGCATCTCAGGAATAACATAAGCTGTCTGCAGCTAGAACAGCTGGGAGGACATGCAAGTGAAAAGGAGGTGGAAGCAATTCTAGTTTGGATGTGCTCCTCAGATTTTGAGTCACGATATACACAGCTAGCCAAAAGTACTCAGAGCCTCAGAGTACAGCTCCTAGAAAGACTAAAGAAGGGGGAGGTGAATCAGTTTAGACATTTTGTCACATTATTTAGGCTTACATCTGGATTTGGTTCAAGTTCTTGTGCCTGAAATGTAGAAGACATACCACAAAAATGCTGCTGGTGTAGCTATAAAGAGCACTGAGTTCATCCATGCTCCATCCAAATCCAGCTCAGTCACATGGGGGCATTTACAAAAGCCTTGCTTTCCAACACAGTCAAAACATGGTCCTAGCTGCACCAGAGAGGCAAGAGCTAAGAAATTACCAATGAATCCCTCTCATACCCCAACACCATTCAACTCTACTAAAGATAAATATTTTCCACAAATATTACATCCCCCACCATGGATTTTGCAGAGCTCTCTGCAGACTAGAAAAGCTGATGTAGTCTTAGGCTCATTGTTAACACATTTCACAGCAATACTCAGCCAACTGAAAGCCTCTGTCCACTTCCTATAACCCATGGTAGAGACTTTGTTCTCCTCTCCTGTTCACATTCAGACACAGCACACTCCTTTGGTACTGCACAGCAGATAATACCTAACTTTTCTAGGCATCCTTCTTCCAGTTGCATACTCTTGTTGAGTCCACATCACAACCTGGCCTTGATGAAGTGACTATACTTCTCCATCCTGCTAAAATTACTTCTCTACCCATGGTAGCTCCCTGCTTCACCTCCCTAATCAACTTTCTAGACTAGATTTTTCAATAATTGAAAAACAGTAGAGCCACAATGACTTCAACAAGGTTCTGCTGGCTGTGTCAGCTGAAGACATATTTTCTCTGGCTCCACATTGCTTGGTGGCTTCCTTTTTTTATGCCTGGCAAGTTATGTTTGCAATTATGCATCTCTATCACAACATGCAGATAGAAAATTAGTCTTCTGAGGCTCTCCCTTAACACCCTCCCCTCTGCCCCCCCGCTCCTCACTCAGTCCTTGAAAAGGCCATTTGAGCATGCAATATTAATCATTTGCTGTGCAATAATCTTGGAAAAATGTAATATATTCTGGCAAATCACAGGGCCTCCAGAGGAACTGCCTGCCTCTGAACTAACGGCTCTCATCTATTATCAGGCAGCGATGAATGCAGCTCCCCGCTTGCTTGCCCCATCAGCATGCAAACAGTGACTCAATTCAATTGTGAGAAATGGGAGGAAATGATCTGTATTAATAAATGGTGAGAGCGTGAGATAGCCTGATTTCAGAAAATAAGATCAAAACCACTGAGCTCCCTTCATTGTCTCATTTGATACCTTCCCTTCGCTGTAAATGCAGCACTGGGAGTAATTAAGCTTCTGAAAGAAGTTTCACAGTGAAGCCACATCACCCAAAACAATTAAGACAAACATTTTGTGCACATTGTCATCTGCCTTCAATGGTGTTTAAAGGTCAAGGAAACATTTCATTAGGAAAAAAAATGAAAGAAAATAAAGGTAAACTGCAGTACACTCCCTGGGTATGTCTAAGAAAAATGCATGCAAGGAATTAGTGTTCAAGCAAATGCACATGCAGAATAACATTCATCTGGATGGCAAATATTATGCAAATTGCTTGGCTTACTCTGATGGTGTCTGGAAACCTCAGTGAGATGTTGTGAGTTATGCTAGGCTCTATGCAATGAGGAGGCATGCTTCTTTGGCCCCATAATGCTCACAATCGGATCACACTAGTGAACAAAAAATGCGTACCAAAGAAGACTTTGATGGTAATAATCCTATGAGTATTCTTTGCCTTGGCAAGCAACAAATTGGTTATCCCCTACTGAGAGTGCTGGAGAAATGTAAGCCACTGTTACTAAAAACAAAAAGTTCTTAAAAAACAACAACAACCAAACACAAAACTTTATACAGTCCTAACCATCAAGAGTGATCTCCATTTTAGAAACCATTGTTATCAATGCCACATTGCATGTACATGGCTAGGGGAGCAGACAGCTATTACTTTGCAGAATATTTTTTAACAGCAGAAAATGAAATGTTTTTAAAATCAAAACATTTCATGGGAGTATGTCAATTTCAGATTATTCTTTTGACAGGAAAATGTTTAAATGAACCATTTCTATTTTTTTGTTTTGTTTTGATAAGGCATGAGCATTTCATTTCAATAATGTGAATGTGTTTTGTTTCTGCTTTTCCAGTTCTGTTCATTTCAGCTTGTATGGCATAATAAACTATGCATGGTAATATTGAACTTACACACCTCCTTTATTACATGTATCCAGCATATAATTTTGATAATAAATGATATAATTCAGCTATTATCAAAAAGAACATTTTAATCTTACTGAATAATATGTTTTCATACTACTTGATTGAACAGAGTAGAAGCCATCTAGGTGAACAATTTCTGAAAGTTCTGAATTCATTTTTTCCAGCTTTTTTCCAGTGTGAACTTTCTTACTCTGACAATCTGCTAAAACCACCGGTTC